TTTATGATTTGCTTGGTTTTGATTTTAAGTTCTACATTTTTTTACATAAAAAATGTAACCTGCATTTGTGTTCGGGGATTTCAGTCTAAATCGGCATTTAAATATTTTTAACAGAATTACTATAGGTGGCACATATTAAGATTCATGGTGTAAGATTTTCCCAGGGGCACGTTTTTGTTTTCGCCTTCTACACAATGGCGGCAACAAAAGTGATCACTTCTCTATCGTCCGTCTGTCCGTCCGTCTTGTCCTTCCATCACAAAACTTTTCCGCAACTATTTTCTCAAAAATTACTAATCCATTTCATCCACATTTTAACAGAAAGAATGAATTATTTATTTTTTTTTTGGCATTTTCCCAGTTCAATAATTTTGGTGATAGTTCGGGTCCTTTAAATGATATTTTAAAAATGTTTCTCCGGGCTACTTTTCTTTTACCAGGACAATGTATGAAAATGTACAGAATTTCTTGTTAGCTCAAGTACTTGCATATATAAAACGGGATTTCCTGTTGAATGATTTTTGCTGAGTTGTGGCGTTCAAATTAAACAAGAACCACCGCCGGGTGGGGACAACGATTGACTTCAGAGTGAAAGAGTGAAATGTTTTGCATACAGTATTGCACTGCAAAATGAACTGTAAATATCCCCCCTGCGTGGGTCCCATCCCATCATCGAATTTTTGGGCCCCGTTATACCTAGGAAACTCTAAAAAATGGGGGGGGCCCCCAAACCAGTGGGGATAAAAACCCCCTGTGTGTTTAAAACAGTTAGGCCCTTGTCTTTTAATCTCTTCTGACCCACAATAAAAAAGATCCCTTTGCAGTTTGCATACTGACTGAGGGGGGCCAAATTTTTCGATGGCCAGTTTTTCCCTATCTAAAGCCCCAGATGTTCCAAAAATTTAAACTTAGCGGGAAAACCCTTTGGGCCCCCGACTTCAAACGGGAAAAAACCCGGGGTTTTTCCAAATCCTTTTTTTTCTACGGGCCCTTTCAGTTAGCTGGGGTGAAATTTTTGGCTGATTTTTGGTTCGTAGGCCCCGAAAACAAGCTCTCTTCCCAAAGGTCCTTTTCAGTTCAAAAACACAATTTCTTTTTCTTGGGGAGCAATATTAATTTTTGGGGATCGAAGAGTTTTCGGCCATTTCTGGGAAATGAGTCGTTTTTCCAGGTCTACTCTCTCCCCCGGGTTTTTTGATGATGCGGGCCCCCAAACCCCTTTTGTGCTCCAAAGATCCAGCTTTGCCCTAGTAAAGGGAAAAAAAAACCTCCTGTCTTTTTTCTGAGGGATTTTTTCCAAATGCTATTTCCCTTTTCCATCTAAATGGTGCCCCCTTGCTAACTCCCCTCAAAAACCCCTATCGTGCCTCCACCTGTAACGGCCTTGTGACAGCGCTATTGAGCAAGAAATAAGAACATGCTCTAGTGTTCCTCTCTTGCCACATAGAGTACATTCAAAAATAACAAAGTTGCAGCCAATAAAAGCAAGAACAAGCAAAATTTGGACTTTTGACCTTGAAGGTCTAGGTCATTTATGGATGAAGGTCAAGGTTAGTGTAGTCTCTTTTACTGAAAAAGTCTTTGTCCCCAAGAGTTGTTGTGGCCAAGTATGAAAAACAATAAACACCAAAGAAAATAAAAAAGTTATGGTCCAGGTAAAAGTTTGCTGATGGCAACGGCAAAGTTAAGGTTGCTATGTGGCTTCCTTAAAGTTAAGGAAGGAAAATTGTATATTTAAGTAAAAACTAAGATAAGATGCTTATTAAATATCACTTAAGATTTTTTAAGAAAAAAAAGCTGATTTTAAGATTTTCTTATTTATAAGGTCATAATTATTTAAGGATAAGATCATCTTAAGATGTATATTGAATACGGACCCAGGACTATAACAATACCTCTACTTTTTTAAAAAAAAAAGTCGAGCTAAAAATGAACATATAACAAGGACCCTTATGATTAACCCCATTTTAATAATAATGATCATTTTTTCTTGATATTGATACAATGCTTTTAATTTGGAAAAAAAATGGTTTTTTAAGAAAAAGGGTTACTGTACCTTGCTTTTTTTAATTTTAAATACAGCTATGTTATACAGTTAATACCTATTATTTGGGCCCCAATAAAAAGGAATCTTTTTAAATTTTTTATAATTTCAATATTGGCACTAATCACATCTACACATGTGTCCTAATGATTTTTAACATGCTGAAATATGACTTTGACCCCCAACTTCACTTTAGAGACTTATTGCATTATGGCAAAGTTCATTTAAGCCCCGTCATTAAACAAACGCAACATGGTGGGTATTGTATTTGGATCAGACCAGCAATGGCATCCGCGCAAGTCTGATCAGTGGCTTCAAAGCTGTTTTCGCATACGAACTCTATAACAGTAGGGAGAAAACTGATAGCGAAACAGCATGGGTCTTATTCAGTCTGGCATGGAACGGATGCGCAGGCTGATCTGGATCCATGCTTGTCGCAAACCCATTATGTTGTTTTTTTATGGCGCGGCTCAATTGTTTAATAACAGAAATCTACTGATGTATATAATTGCGTTATAGTGCATAGTATTTTTCACAAATGCATTCTTGTTTTTGGTAGGGTTCAATTCTCAAAACATATAAATTCACTTTATTCTTGGAGTTCTTTTTTACCATCAAATTTGAAATGCATGTGTTTGTGTGTATGTGGGGGGGGATGGAGTAATCCTAAAAGCCTTTTTCCTTTATTATTTCCCTCGTTTGACTTGAATATTAATGAAAAAAATCAAAAAATCTACAAAACAACATTTTTTCTTCAAATTTATTTAAACATGAAAAAAAACTCGATTTTGTGTAATTTCAAGCATTTTCATCATTTTCTGTTAATGAAAAAATCTACAATACAACAATTCTTCTTCAAATTTATTTGACAGGCCATACTTAAACATGAACAAACTCGATTTTGTGTAATTTCAAGCATTTTCATCATTTTCTGTTAATGAAAAAAATCAAAAAATCTTCAAAACAACAATTTTTCTTCAAATTAATTAGACAGGCCATATTTAAACATGAAGAAAGGGGATGTGCCCCCTTCTGTTTGGGGGGTTTAAAGGGGGCGGCAGTCCCCCTCATCGCCAAGAACATTTTGGGCTTTGGAGGCAAAAAAGACGCCCAAGATTGATATTTTTTGGGGAAAAGTGTAACCAACGCTTTAAAAGGGATTTTTACTCTATCCTTAATTCCATTGAGAAAGTTTCAGGGAAATTTTGGGGGAAAACAAATTTTGGATGGAAAAAAACAACGCACAGAAAATGGGTTTTTGGCAATTTTGAGATTTCCCCTCGTTTTCCATGGTAACAGAAAAAGTTTTGCAAAAAGGAATAGTCCCGTAAAAAATTTTTTGGGCCCAAATTTTTAAATTTGTATTGAAGCCCTTTTTTAGTATTTGAAACAATTTGAAAATTGTAACGGGGGGAAATTTTTTAGTGAAAACAGATTTTAACACAAGGCGATCAGTAAATTCCAAAATTGGGGGTTTTTTTTCGGTTCATGATGGCCAAAATTTTAAAAGTTGGGAAAAAAAAAAATTTGGGGACAGACCCAGACAGACAAACGGACAATGCACAACTAGACTTTGGTAATGATCATTCCTGTAAAGTTTGGATAAAATTGCACCAGTAGTTTATGAGGAGAAGTCCGGACAAAAAATTGCACCAGTAGTTTGTGAGGAGTAGTCCGGACAAGCTTTTGCGTATCTGGCAACACACAGAAAAAACATCTTTTTATCAAAGGGCCATAATTCGGCCAAAAATCATTCAACCGGAAAACCCGTGTATTATGCGTAAGGACTTGAGCTACAGATCAATCCTGTAAAGTTTCATTGAAATTGCTTTAGTGGTATAAGAGAAGTAGTCTGGACAAACTTAAAAAATAAAAATTATTAAATGGCCATAACTCTTGACAAAAATCATTGAACCGGAAAATGCTGACAATATGCACAAATAGACTTGGTACTGATCATTCCTGTAAAGTTTGGATGAAATTGCATTATTAGTTAATGAGGAGTAGTCCGGACAAGCTTTTGCGTATCTGGCAACACACAGAAAAAACACCCTTTTTTATCAAAGGGCCATAACTCGACCAAAAATCATTCAACCGGAAAACCCTTGCAATATGCGAAAGGACTTGAGCTACAGATCAATCCTGTAAAGTTTAATTGAAATTGCATTAGTGGTATAAGAGAAGTAGTCCGGACAATCTTTAAAATTAAAAATTATTAAAGGGCCATAACTCTGCCAAAAATCATTGAACCGGAAAATGCTGACAATATGCACAACTAGACTTGGTACTAATCATTCCTGTAAAGTTTGGATGAAATTGCACCAGTAGTTTATGAGGAGTAGTCCGGACAAGTTTTGTGACGGACAGACGGACAGACAAACGGACAGACGGACAGACAGACGACGGAGAAGTGATCCCTTTATGTCGCCACTACTCCGTAGAGGCGACACAAAAATGCTCATGAAGAAATGGGTTAATGAAGGGTCATATTGATTCATATAAATTATGTCACATACATTGTCAAATAAATACCGTCAGTTTAACTATTTAATAAAATTGTTTACTGAACGATTGAGTACAAAAGCTAAAATTGTATACATTGAGTGTAGCCTTATTATCATACGGAAAAATAAACATCTTTAAATCATACAAAATGAAGAAATCCTAAGCGAACATGTGGGGCATTGACAAATTAAAAAAGGATCTGAAATGAAAATATTACATCAATTAGTTGTACAATGTTTGTTTATTTCCGAACCATTTCGTATATATGTTCTCTAGATAATAAAATTATTCAAAATAGTTAAATTATATAGGGCACCAAGAATTACAAAACCTAATAAATTTGTTATGAAAACTAATGAAAGTGAAATTGTCTTCAGTGATTAATTTTTATTGAAATATTCATTCATTTCTAAGTCGAAATCAGTTGTTTACTGATAAACTGTAAAACTAGACACAACGAACACAATGTTTTATAAGTAAAACGTTTATAGGTATATTACACTCATATAAATATTTTACAATACAGTTAAAAAACAACACAATACACATAAGCCAGGGTGACACAGTGACACTCCTTGAGAACAGAAAAAAAGCGTTAACTGAACTTGACCAAAGAACAGCAGAGTCATTGCGTAAACTCGACGAGAAAGCATTGGCTGTACTACATAAACTAAAACAAGATGTTGGTGAATTGAAGGATGCCACTTTAGCTGATGTTGAAAACGCTGGAACATCGTTAAAGCAAACGCTTTATGAAGAGAGAAGGGATGCCATATCTGAAATAAACACAGCCGGGGAACAGGCAAAACAAGACATTGCTGGGAAGACGTCTGATGGTATATCTGAAATAAACACAGCCGGGGAACATGTAAAACAATATATTGCCGTGGCAAAACACGATATTTATGGACAGAAAAGTGAGGCTGTCTCTGATATTTGTAATGCAAAAGAAGACGTTTTATCTGCCATCGCCAAGGCTGGTGCAGAAACTAAAGAAGATGTTTTAAGTGGGGCTTGTGGTGCTCGGTCTGATATGAGCGGCCGTGTTGTTTCCAAAGAATCCATTTTCAAAAGAGGTCTTCGGAAGCTCTCAGATGTGTTCACATCTTCAAGTTCAAAGTCACGCAAGGTTTGTTTTCAATAATTCACATTAACTAGTAAAACATACTCTATCAAATGCATTGTCTATGTGTAACATTTTTTCACACTTTAACTTGTAGACTTTTTTTGGGCACATGAATAGAACAAATGACGTTCCGGAAGCTTGCTTGCGAGCTTCTTTAAATGTAGGAGTAGAAGGAAAACGGTTTGGGGCAAGAAATTCGAAGTCAAATTTCATAACAACTTGGCCCCTGACGCCCTTAATTGCTGTTGTAACATCATTAAGAAAAACATAGATGCAAAACATCTACGGGCGATATATGCTTTCTCATCTTATAATAATAGCAAAAATGAACATATACGTGAAACCTTCTGGTCTTTATACAAAGATACAATTTTGCACTTTCTATATATTAATTTGTGGTTTGCTGTAAAATACTATTTAAACTATGTTATCCAAAAGCAAGACTCTTCTAGACACTGGCATCATAGTTAATGTCACTTTTAAATTATCACAATGCGATGAAATAAGGTTGATGTAGACATGTTTCATACAAGAATACTAATATGATTATATATACATAAATATATATAAATCTAAGTAAAGAAAGTGACTGCAGGGCGGGGCAATGTTGGTCTCAATGAATGATTTACTTTAAAAAGTCAACTACGCATTGGTATATGCAATATATCAAAACTCTTGACAGAAGAAATGTATTTCTTTATATAAGTCAATATAATTAAATATCCCCCCTGGGCGGGACCAACTGTGTTAGATAATACCGGTTATCTTGTCTATTTGTAATGTAGTTTACAAAAAGATGTGTTAAAGACTTTGTACTAAACAAATCTATGCAAACTAAATGGCCACCAGGGCTAGGTCATTTTGGCCATAACGGCATAACAATTGTATAGGGCAACTAGGCAATGCTACAAAAAGTATATAGTTAATTGACCCCTGATTAGAGACAAATTGTAATCCGAGGGTTATAATATTTTTAAAGTTTGTAGAGGGCTTGAGGGTGATGATACATATCAAATGTCTTATCTCGGGGATTTGTAGTTTCCGAGATGTTTATGACTTGTTTTATTTTTGCAACTCTATGCATACTAAATGCGTACCAGGACCGGATCATTGCTGACCCAAGGGTCGTGTATTATAAAACCGTCATAGAGGTCGACTAGGCAATGCTGCATGGCAACTACCTAAGCACTGGTCATTACAGTAACAAATGAAAATGTGTTGCCCTTAAAAAAGATCAAATAATCTAAGTGGCCTAGCGGCGTGCACAAATCGAGCTCTAGGTACCCTGTTATATGGAA